TTTATAAGTCTCACTGAATTTATGTGCTTCTTACTTAATGAAATTTTATGTGATTAAACTATATTTATTTGTATGTAATATACAGTTAGACTTGTATTTTCCGTAATTATGTAAATTAATATTAGATATCTTTCTTCCACCTTTGAATTAAATGCTTAAATAAAAATATAGAGTTTTAAATTTCATTTAATTTTTCATAATAGCATCTCTTGTTCTATTCAGTGCAATCTTTTGTTCTATTCAGTGATTAATATTATAGTCCAAGAGCTGTAAGAGATCGACCTTCACCCATCAGATAACTTGATGAGACTTATTTTTTATCAAATATAATTTATTAACAAACATGCCTATGGATAACATGCCTATCGAAATGTTTACATAGCTATTTTCAATTGAACTTGAAATATGATAAAAATATATTTATTTAGAGCCAATATTACTAAAGTGGACAGACTATTGACTCGTAGAATAATTTATGAATTAAATATTAGTTTTATGACTATCATAAACTTTGGTTTACTTCCGCACTGGCAAACACGCTGGGCGATGCACGTAAATACTGGCATTACAGACTGAGGGAGGGCAGAAGCCGGACTTTTTCTTGAAGTGTACCAGATAAAGCAATTTATGTACACTAAATAATATGATTCTTAGGTGAAAGCCCTTAATTTAATAAAATTATTATTTTTAATAAACTGAACTTTCTTTTTACTGAATGTCAAACTTCACTGAATGACATATAAGAAAAATCCTTTTTATAAAACTACAGAGTTTTAGACTATGAAGGTTTTCCTTTACATGTATATCTGCTACTTTGGAATTCCAAAAAAATGCCACTCAATGGATTATAAATTGTTAAATTAAATGGAAAATAATTAGCCGTAAACCGAGGGTGTACTTATTTGGTCCGAGGTCCAGCATCAAATATCTATATTGGAATTTCGTATGGTCCGAGATAGAGGGTCGAAATTTCCTAATGTCCGAGGTTGAAGGTTGGAATTTCATACTGTCCTAGGTCGTCCGAATGACCGTATAGTTGAAGTGGAGGAGGGTGGAGGGCTACAGGTAGCGCAATCCTCAGAGCCTGGACAGGTCCTTAAATATTTTAGGTCAGTTAAAATTGGAAACTCCAAGGGTACAATAGGTCTGACAGAAATTTATTGTTTATCCAATAACAAACTTACGAATTCTACACCGGGTATCAGCATTTAAATTGCTCTACTGACGACAAAAAAAACTGGTCTTGGAATGGATACGCTTCAAATTGAATAAATAAATCAGACTAATGCTAATGGCATTCTTTTGAAATGTCACTTGCATTTAGGGAAACAGTGATTTGCGAAAACAACGCAAAATTACTAATCACAGCCATAGTTGAGTTCTTGATGTCTTGAATATTACTCGATCGATGAAATAGCTGTGGTTGGTAAAGTGTAGAAATTTCGTAGACATGTTTGTTGTACATGGTATGTCAAGGCATTCCGTTCTGAAAGAACACTCGCTCACTTAAAAACCGGATATAGTTAATGAAAACCTCTATCGGATCGGTTAATGTTGCGGAGAATATTCAAAAATTATAAACTAAAAGCTCTTAACACACGGCAACAGTTATTCTAGTGAATTAATTACGAACAGTTCCCGTTTATTGCGAGATAAGTCTCTTATTACGTCAACGAGTCGGTACGAAGCGACGGACAATAATACTATTTGTTACCCGTCCACTTTGATAAAGCGGCACGACACGAGAACCCTCTCATCGTGGCCGCCGGTAACTACATTCCCGATCCTGCGGAAAGAATGGAAAGCAGTCGACGTCGCCCCAAACTCGTCATTTCGGATCCTCCCGATCCACTAACGGTGCTCCACTATCAGTGGGTCGCGTTTCCAATCCGTTGGTAGATTATGCGGAGCACGGCTCTTGCTAGGGTTCGTGTTAGCAACGTCGTCAGGTTTGAGCCCCGTGAGCTCACCTACTAGTTAAGGTTCCGCTAAGGCTAGCAGCTTAGGTAGGAAAAAAAAATGTTACCTGGCGATTGCAACTTCGTAATCGCCGTTATATTTATAAAATAACGACTCCGTGCTACTTCAAAGTCTCTCATGTTCTGGTTGTAAAGTCTAACAGGATTTTTCGATTACGAAATGGCACTTCATGCTTGTAGGGCACCTGTCGATACAATATCGCGCCCTAAATAATAAGACAGAAAAGAATAACTACCCTTTACTTAGAATTGAGGACTTACTAAACTGGCTAGTTGGAAATACGATATTCACATCCTTAGATCTATCTACAACCAAATACCGAGATAACGTCGCAAAACCTTATTCATGACTCCACACTATCAATTACAATATAATCCGATGCCATTGGATTGGAAAATATACGTTGGTATTTATAAGTACTACAAACACGATACTGGCGTAATTCAGAATCGTATATGTTTTCATTGATATGGATGATAACTGACGAATAATTTTGAAGAATTAATGATTTGATTAAGGGAAGAAACAGGAACTTTTGCGAGAAGGAGGGATTGCTTTGAAAATAGCAAATGTATCTTTTTCTTCGAGGTTTAAGGTTAGTGCAAAGTGCTGACGAGCTTGGTCCAGAAAGACCGAAACGATGTCTAATTTGTGTTAATCTCAAAAACCAACATGAACTACGTTAATCAGTTGGTATTATTGTTACGTTTTTTCAGAAGATATATCAAAACTACGCATTGGTTGTTGAGCTACTAACATAACTTCTTAAGAAGGACCAAGAGTGGATATGGAACGAACGTAGAGAAAAATCCTTTTCACAAATCAGGGAGTTGCCGTATAAACAGTTCTTGTCTGCTTTGTATAATCTGCTGGCGAAGACTGAACTATATAAAGACATTATGTAAATGTGGCTTGGCTGATATTCTAAATACTTCAACGTAACGGTAAAGGCATCCTATAGCAAGTGTCATATTTTAGTCGAAAAATCACGCCAGGTGATACCACTTTTTTTAACTCGAAACCTTGACTATAATAACGTCATTAAGCCGATTTAGTATCTCTCTTTTCGGTATATGTTTTATTGTACTGACTGATTGTGATGGTGTTCGAGCGACACTTATAAAAAGGGACTTGGTATCTTTTATAGCAAGGCTTTGGAATCGACTTCCAGAATTTGATAGATATGATTTAGAATGAGCTTCAGATTTAGAGTGATTTAGAACAAGCCACCATGGGGTAAATGTAAATGAGAACTGCGTCCCATTGAAAACGTTGGTTTCACACCACCACGCAGTCCATTTAGGAAATTTTGTCAGGACCTAAGCAGGAAACTGTTACATATATGTATGTATATTATGTATATATATTAATAGATATTTTGAAAAGTTTATAAACATTACTCCAGTCAAAAATATGAAATCAGCAACTACAATCAAAGTTTTGAAAGAACGCATTGGTTTCTGCGGAATTCTCATGACTTGTGCAAGTGTAGTGTTTGCCCGCGCGGCCCGCATACACGTAAAGTCTCTCCAGGTTATCCAATCCCGTTTCTGCAAGATAGCCATCGGAGCACCATGGTACGTGAGGAAGGTCGATCTTCACGACAATCTAAATTTTGAATCGATACGTAAGTATCGACCTTACCTTAAGATACCGTTTTGTAGGCAGCGGCTTGGCTCTGCTCCTGGCATTGCTGAAGTCCATGGGCGACGGTAACCACTTACCATCAGGTGGGCCGTACGCTCGTCTGCCTACAAATGCAATAAAAAGAAAAAACTACTTTGACAAAGCGGCGCGACTTGATAGCACACTTACCTTGGTCGCCGCTAATTTCTTATCTCACTCAGCCTACGGGGCAATGCAAAGCCGTCGTCACGCGAAACAGGTCTTGTCAAATCCCCCGGATCCACTCTTGGTGTCTTTAGGCTCTTCAAGCAGCGGTTACCGTCCTCGTCAAACTCGTTGATTACGACGAAGAGTTGGACGAGCGAACCCGTGAGCTCACTGACCCGTCCGCGCGTTTTTAGAATAGCTCCTTAGGCTAGCAGCAAATGGGTAAGGAAACAATATTTGTAGTCCCAATGCATCTCATTACTTATAGAGAGTCTAGTTCAAGCAGTAAAATTCTTAAGGTGTAGCGAGTAGGCAAGTACTCGAACTTGACTCAATGCAGTTCCACATCGTATGATGCCTATGTCATATCGTTCGTACCAACCTGCGACGATCAACAGTGAAACCGCTTGTAACTAATACACGGATGACGTCTCCAAGATGAACAACGGTGCGTCTATTGTATCACGCACCACTATTCAAGATGGCCGACCCTGTGTAGATACATCTATATAGTTTTATGGTCTTCGGCCATTTATAATTAATAGAAAAAGCGCCAGGACCGAACCGCTTTTATCATTATCCATTAGTGTGAACATTATTATTCTGAATTCGTTTTTAGTATATTGTATAGTAGTGTGTCGTTGTTATTTTGTTCGTTGCGCTTTGTTGTAGCATTGTACATACCCAATAACGAAAACTACATTAAAGTAAGTTGGAAGGAATTAACATCTTAACTTTCCATACTCTATGCCAGGGGTCGGCAACCTGTTTGTCCTTAAGGGCGCAATACTAAATTTGAAAATCACCTAGGGCGCATATTTTGCAGATAATCAACAGGTATAAATAGGCATTAAAAAAACTGATTTTTTATAACTTTTATTTTGTTGGTGTCATACATACATAATGATACATATAATTCAGTGTGAAACTTTGGTGTCCATATTTTCAGGTAATTTCTTATAATTGTGGATATATTTAGAGTTCCCGGTCCTTAAACAATTATCTTAATGCGAGTCATTAAGCTTTGTTCGATATTGAAAGAAAATAATTATTTCGGATTACTTGGTAGTTTTAAATGCACAGTCCACGCGTTATCTGTTCGAAATACGATCACACACTAACAAAAAATACGTGTCTGTTATTAGATACGCTCAAGGTTAACAAACTGCTAATCTATGATGCACAATCCTAAACTCAACTGACTACTTACTGTATATCACCGTTTGACAAGAGTAAGTAAATCGCTCTGGCTATCATACATTTACATTAGTCCAGCGAGGGCGCATTAAAAATAGATCGTGGGCGCCATGGCGCTCTATGCAGTCTTACGTTAGAGTATTATTGAAAAAATACATAATTTTTTTTAAATGTTTTTTCTACGAAAGTAAAATCTTGAGGATCTCTAAAACGCGTTATAAATACCACCCCCCCGTTGACTCACAGCGTATTGTGTGGAATATACTCATTATGGTTGGACAAAATCAATTCGACAACGGAAATTCGCACAGGTATTTTAATATAGAATTTTATTTACGCATGGTTAAATTAACGTTAAAAAGAAAACATATTATTTTCCGCAATGCGGAGAACCTAAATCATTAAAAAAAAAATTGTTATCTATTTTATTACACGCTTTATATTAGCTTCACTTGTATGTATGTTTGTAACTGACTCCTCTAGATGTGATTTTGACCCACTTTAAACGGCCAGATTTCATTCAAACTTTGTAGATTTATTGAGGACCGATGACAAAACACTAATTTGATAAGGTTATTCCATTATTCAATTTGCAAAATAATATTTTTGCCAATTTTTATAATTTTTATCTATAGTCGATAAGGCAGGAATTGATGTTAAAGTACTTTATATTTTAAAAAATACGCTTTTATAGCAAATTTAACTAAATAATGAAAAATAAATAATAGTTAATAAAAACTAAAAAACACGATTTACACTATTTTATACTTTACACTTTTTACACTATTTTCAATTTAAATTTATTAAAATTTATTTTCTATTTTTTAGTTGAATTTTATTTAAAGCGTGTTTTTTCGTTTTTTTAAACTATTATTTATTTATTAGTCTAGTCAACAAGTGCCTTTTTTTAAATTATAAATATTGGTCCTACAGTTCCGGGACGCTTAAAAATACTTCCAATCAATATGAAATTTGTTTAACCGCGATAGATCATTTAGTTCAAAAGTTACACAGTTTTGTGTACACCAGAGTCACAGTAGTGAACAAAAATTAAAAAAATTCCACAAACAAAAAAAATAAGAAAAATTTAGCTTTTTTTAATATTTTTCCCTCGATAAAATTAAGCATAGATTCCCTCATTTCGATATGTGCACATTATAAAGAATCACACTGTCCTCCTCCTCGCGTCGTTTCCTCACTGCTGAGGGTCGTGACCATTATAATTCGACATGATTTTACTCCTTGTGATGTCCCGCCAGCGCCTCCGATCATTGGCCGCATGAAAGGCGTCGTGGAATGGGATCCCTAGTGTGGTGCGGATTTGGTCGAACCACCTTGTCGGACTGCGCCCGCGCGGTCTCTTTCCCTCGATCTTCCCTGTCAAGATATAGTCTGATATAGAATAGATAGATGAATAGAATCACGCTGTAGATATAGATTATTGAGAATGCATTGAGTGTTTTTAAGCCACCGTACTTGAGGTGGAGCGACTCAAGTAGGCAATATGTCAATAATGTTTTCCATTATTATTTTTAAATCTTTGGCTCGTCTATCAACATAGGTTACACTATAGGTAGGTAAACACTTTTTAAAGATTGTATCTATCAAGACTCCATAAAATAATATTTTAGAATAGTATATTCCTTGACAACTGGGAATGTGAACTTTCTATCTTGCGCGCGAACTTCCTTTTCTGTGTTTTGCCTTTTATAAAAAATTTAAAAGATCTACAATATGTTATTGCACATTTCTATCTAAATTGTAAAGAAATAATTTGAGGTTTCTGAAGTCATGTGAAGTAAAACGGGTTCGAAGGTGTTCATGGTAGCAACATGTTGGCAATGTTTAATATTGTTAATGGGCGATCTTTTTTTGTCTTTCTGTCAACTTAACTTACTAAAAATAATTTAGATTGTATCTTCGAAAATTCTATTTCATTCTCAGGATTTTCATGAACGACGATGCAGAGTTATACGAAAATAGTAACAGTATTCAGAGGCAGGATGCAGCTGACACTTTAAATGAGTATTCGTCAAGATTAAACTGGAAAGAAACGGGAGAAAGTATATTAGACATAGGATGTGGCGATGGAAGTGTCACTGATATCCTGAGATCATACTTACCAAAAAGTAGAAAGATTTTGTTGGGCTGCGATATCAGTGAGAGAATGGTCAAGCACGCCGAAGGGCGTTACGGAAATAAGACGACAGCATTTACTGTACTTAATATAGAAGATGATATTCCCGATGAGCTGAAAGGAAAATTCGATCATGTTTTCTCATTTTACGCATTACATTGGATGCAGAATCAGGAGTGAGTCTTATGCGTGTACTATTTTTATGGTTGAAGCCAGTTCAAAGTAATCAGTCTTTCTTTCCATACTGAGAAACTTAGCCACAGATTTGAACAGAATTTAAGTACTTCCGTCAAAATTAAAATGTATTCGAAAGTTTGGTGATGTGGGATATGGTAAACAAATGGGTGTGGAGTTCATACTTATTCGGTCTATTTCTGCCACTCACCGGTAATGTTTTCCTCGAGCAAATAGCAATTTGCGTTCATACTGTTAGATGCACTGCATTGCGTCATCAATCTATTATCCGATAATATATTAGTAGAATAATATTCTGCTGTTTTTTCTTTCAGAAAAGGATTTACAAATATTCATAATCTGATGCGTGATGACGGAGAATGCCTTTTAACCTTTCTCGCATATTCGCCAATATATAGTATGTTTGAAGGACTCAAAGACACACCCAAATGGACTGCATGGCTTAAGGATATCAATCTATTTCTTTCGCCTTATCATGATTGCATGGTAATAACCTTAAATCACCAATAATAACAACTGTTTTTCTTTAAGTTTTACAGCGTTGTTCTATCTGTTCTAATATGAAGAAAATAAATTACTAAGAGTTTACCGCAATAAATAGTTGGTTACAGTGCATTATTTTATTACATTATTTTATTATGACGATTTTATTAGCTTCAGACGTATGTATGTTAGTAGGTATGTAACGGAATGTTTTGACATAATTTTGATCCCCTTCAAAACGTCGGATTAACTCAAAATTTGGCATATTTATTATGGACCGATGACATTCAATATTTAAAAAAAAAAAGAAAAATTTGAAATTCACATAAAAAATGAAAAAAAAATTGAAAATCCAACTAAAAAATAGAAATTTTTTTTAATAAATTTGATTTAAAAAGTGTAAGAAAAAAATCTAAATTGTGTAAGAAAAAAGATTTTTTCTAAAAGCGTTTTTTTTTAGTTTTTTTAAACTATTATTTATTTTTTGTTAAATGTTTATCGCTCGTAAACAAACATGAATTAAAACATCAATACGTCACGCAGCTTAAGACACAACGTCGAAGTCTCTCATTCTTCAAAGCGAGATGCGTGATTATTTCACCGCCGAAATAGCCTCAGCCTCCTGTTACCAGCACTTATACAGGTTCTTTTTATTATACCTACGTCGTTATTCTTTAATTGTCGAAGTTACTCTTGAACTCCAAAGAAGTACCTATTTCTTTAGAAAACTAGGTTTCCAGTATCAATGCAGGATTTGAATACCTGTATTGTTACTTCATTTAATACGGATAGACATAATATTTTCTCCTATAAGCTACGATGAATTCAGATTTATTAACTGTTTTGTAATTATTTTTTCCTGGTGGCTTAAAGATTTAAATCAATTTGTTTCGCATTATCATGATAGTATGGTAATAATATTTTTATTTTAAATATATTAATAACTAGCTGTACTCGCCCGCTTCACTGCGCATTTAAAATTAACATTATTATTTACAATCATATAAAAATTAGCCTATCCATTAATTACATGTATTTTCTACACGGATACCAAGTTTCAAGTCAATCGGATGCATGGTTCAGTAGTTATAACGGAACATCTGTAAAAACCACTGTAGATTTATATATTAGTATGTGGTAATATATCGATGATTAGTATAGATAATATTTTTATTTTAAACTAGCTGACCCGGCGAACTTTATTCCGCCTTAGAGGCGGCAATAAATGAGCAGACTTTTGATTTTATCAAGATAATTTTTTTATTTGGATAATTAATGTAAATTAAAAGAAGCAAGTGTTTCAATGATTCTTTATTGGTCATTTATTTTAGTTGTAATTATTATTCTTATATTTTTATTTCACTCGCAATGTTTCAAATCATAGCTGCATTACGGCTTCGTCGGGAAAAAATTGATCGTGTTGATCGCGGCATGGCTTTCTTAATAATTATCTCGGCAAAATAAGCTAATAGAAATTCGAAACAAACACATCAACCGGTCAACTTCAAAACTATACTATAAATAACCATAGACTACATTACGTTTAGCTGTCAGTTACGTTTTGTCATTCCATATCAGTTGCGTTTTGTTATACCACGTTTTATGTCACGTCCCACGGGAACATGATAAAAAGTATCCTATGTCCTTCTCCTGGTTCTAAGCTACCTCCCCACTAATTTTCATCCAAATTAGTTCAGCCCTTCTTGAGTTATAAATAGTGTAACTAACACGACTTCCTTTTATATATATAGATATATTAATGTCATTGTATTCACGAATGGCTTCTGCTATGGAAGCATTGCCTTGTGTAGTAAAATAAAATACGGGGATTTAAATAATTGAAAATAAATATTACAAGCTTATTGCTCATTTCAAAAATGTTCGGTAGCTACTAAGTTCATATTATTGAATTTTGATTAAAAAAAGGCTTTCTGATACTTAGTTTTGTCTTTAATATGAATGTCCCACGTGCGACTATGTTGGAATATCGTTGACACATCGATAGGCGGAGAGGAGAAAATTATTACCAGACTGATTAGTACAATTTACTGGAAAAATTAAAATGTCTTAAAATAATTCAATCGCTGTATTCTTTTGTCGTACTACATAATTAATTACTTACATTGGTTTCAGGAACCGGATCGTGTTATTGAAAAACTGTTTAAGAAAATTGGCTTTCGATTCATAGATGTTCGTTCCAGACAAAAGAAATTTGTATACAACAAGATATCCGATTTCAAAAGTAGGTTGAAACTTGTTTGCTAGAATTTTTGTAGTTGAAATTATTTTGTTATAAATTATGTTTTTTGTGATGTTACTATGTTTATAACATCTGTTGGTTACTTCATCTAAATAAACATACATGATAATATGTATGTACATGTAAATTGTAAGTTAGTAATTAATTAATTATGTAATCCATAATAAGCAAAAATGTTTTTATTTTTCCAAACGAAAATTAGAAACATGCCAAATCAATAGTTTTAGTAAGTATCTATTTGGGAGGATTTATAAATCGAAAACGAAATCAATTTAGTGCTCCCTCCGTGAGATGTTATGTCGAAATATCGATTTTTCTGGAATACTTTGCTAAGCAGGATTCCATTTTCCATCCAAGAGTAATTAAGCAGGATATCGGTGAATGCGAACAAACCCACAGGCGCAGAACAAACCGCGTCAACAGCACCAGAAGTAGAATATTTTTTTGGACTCTATGTTAAGTAGTGTCCGGAGCTCGTATATACCACAACGTGATATCTATCCCTCACCTTGAGACATGAAGTCGATGTTTAAATTGTATTGTGTTGCGGCTGATCCACTTTTCAAACGAAGAAGTAGTACGGTGGTAACTGCTCCATTGTAATGATACTTCTTCAAACATTGTACAAATGACGATTGATTTTATCATTTCTAAAATTCTGAGTAGTAGTTACTTTACAGATTTTAGAGTCATTGGCTGCGAAATAAGCACGAGATTAAACTAAATTTTTATCGCTATTTAATAATTTGTGAAATCTGGATATTTGTTTTTGTTACATCTATGATACACAGGTTAAGTTTTTTAGGGTTTTGTTAGTGTACTATGATAGAAAGCCGGCCACCGTCCTCGCCGAACACGTCGCTTGCGACGAAGGGCTCGACGAGTAAATTAACCCATAGACAGCCCACTGAGTTTCTCGCCGGATCTTCTCAGTGGGTCGCGTTTCCGATCCGGTGGTAGATTCTGCGAAGCACTGCTCTTGCTGGGGCCAGTGTTAGCAACACTCCGGTTTGAGCCCCGTCGGCTTACCTACACGTCAAGGAGAAGCTGAAATAGCCTCTCAGGCTATCAGCATAGATAGGAAAAAAATGATAGAAAACTCGCATTGTAACAGCTGAGCTAACTTTTTAAATGTTTGTTTGAAAACAAATTAACAATAGATGCAATTTCAATCAGGTATTATGATTTAACAATTAACACAGACGTGCATTTGGATTTATTTATTTTGTTGCGTTGTAATCATGTAAAATTAAACACACTAACTTTTTTCATTCCAGATACAGTTTTAGCCATAAGTCCTTTCAAAATCCCGGAACATATGCTAGAAGAATTTTGGGACGACCTAGTGGAAGTGGGAGTAGGGATGCGAATAATTGATAAAAAAAATGATACCGTTAATTTGATATATAATTTGCTTATAGTACATAGTAGAAAATAATTTCTGAATTAAGTGAATTTTGAACTCTAATATAGTCAAAGTTAACTTCTAGGGTTAAAAAAAAATGAGTTTTTGTATGATTACGAGCTTTTTAAGTAACGGCTAAATATAAAATAGGTAACAATGTTTAAAATGAATTTATCACGACGATTTTTTTAATATATAATACTTCAAGAAAAGTTTCCCCTAGTTTCATTTATCATAAAATTTACATTTAAAATCTTACCATGTTAATGGATTTTTTCTTTCGAGCACATGCCTTCCTCAGCATCGACGTATTTCGACGACAATATTTCACAATTATTGATAGTACCCTAAAACGAAATTTATCTCTTCTCCTATGCTATGTTTATATATGTAGAGTTAATTATACATAATATTGACACAAAGGGCTATAAGTTGATTTTATTAAAATTTAAGAGCATTTTTATATAAAAAAAAATCAATACCAAACTCTGAATACGTTTTTCTGCATGTCCCTTGTTTATTGTTCTGTGTATTGATGGTATGTATGAGGCATGTATCAGTTACATATTATCCTTGGTATTGAGGCGGCATGTAGTGTCTATCGGGAATAGGCGTTGTCTCCTCGTCGTAGTCCGGCGGACTGGGTAGTTGATTTAGTTTGTCCATCAGCCATTTCAAAGCGTACACAAAAAGACTACCCGCGGNCGTTTTTCTTCATGTCCCTTGTTTATTGTTCTGTGTATTGATGGTATGTATGAGGCATGTATCAGTTACATATTATCCTTGGTATTGAGGCGGCATGTAGTGTCTATCGGGAATAGGCGTTGTCTCCTCGTCGTAGTCCGGCGGACTGGGTAGTTGATTTAGTTTGTCCATCAGCCATTTCAAAGCGTACACAAAAAGACTACCCGCGGAGAAACTTCGAAAAAAAGTAAATTAACAGCTAACTTCATTATAGATATGCAAATATGCAAAATTGCGTAATAAACATTTACAGTCATTCGATTCAATCGTGTTACAGTTCTAAGAGATTTTATTACCATCAATGTGGTCGATGAACAATATACCTAGTCGTTAGTCCAACATTTGGTGACCTTGACTAGTGTATCAATGGTCGGCTTCGATTCCCGATCAGGGTAAAATCTTTGTTAAAAATGGTATTTAGATTTGGGTGTATTTATTTTTGTCTCAAATATATGTTTACCGTACCGGTAATACACGAGAAAGTCCTGACTAAGGGAAGTAACACGTGGAACGAGTGTTTGTTTACCATAAATAGAAAATTTGAGAAAGTGAGAAGTGCAATCGCTACGTGAACCGTTAGAAAATTAGAATAGAACTTTAGAATTCATTCGGACTCATGAAGGGTCTACGATGGTGACGTAAATTAGATTTTGCCTAGGTTAGATTAATTAAATTAGCTGGTTATATTAAATTTCAGACTGTTTCCATTCTGCCTCTTCATAAGGTATGTAGGGATTTTATAATTGCACTCCTCCATCGCTTACAATGTGCCCTAGTCGGATGCGTCAGCTCGAGTCGGCAAAGTGATTTATTTCTTCGATCTCAAACCGAGAACGAATTGGCATCAGGAGCTGACCTCGTCATCGGTTAACTGCTGTCTGTGAGGACAGGAGAGACAGAGGTGTATATTATGGCGATGACAGTCCAAGACAGGGTGAAGGACAACATGGAATTTTTAAACGTAGTGCCTAGCTTGTGGAATACAATAAACAGTCTAAGCAATCCAGTACCTGCTCTGAGCATATTTATTGTTATACGCCTGTTAATATCCTTTATAAGTGTCAAAAAGGACTGAAATTTTTCAAAACAACTACATATTAAAAATAAAATAAAATAAAACACAAGACCAACTTACATGTCTAACATATTCGTTTGTAATGAATGTTAATGAAATTATTCATGTGGATCATCGATATTAGCAAAAATATGTAAATTTTTTATATCTCAAATACGAATTCTAAAACAACTTCGATATCTACACACGTCTGTGTTTCGTTTGCTAATAGCATCAAAAAATAGTAATAGTCTAAACAAATTCAAAACAATAGCCATTGTACAAACGAATAAGTGCTAATAAACATAAAACAAATGCCACGCTTGGTAGTATTTTATTTTTATTTCGTGGAATAACATTACTGCATCGGACGAATCAAATCAAAACTGTTGAGCAGCTGGTTGTAGGTAGGATATGACTAGANTGTTTCGTTTGCTAATAGCATCAAAAAATAGTAATAGTCTAAACAAATTCAAAACAATAGCCATTGTACAAACGAATAAGTGCTAATAAACATAAAACAAATGCCACGCTTGGTAGTATTTTATTTTTATTTCGTGGAATAACATTACTGCATCGGACGAATCAAATCAAAACTGTTGAGCAGCTGGTTGTAGGTAGGATATGACTAGAGTTATTGGAACACGTCAAAAATGTACAAAAATCGCGAGGTATGCGTTATTTGTAGTAGTACCTTGTATTTAATACACAGTCGAAGAGTAAAATAGCCAAGATGCTGGTCTAAGATCTACAAACCCGCATCTTAGTGGAGGCGTCCGCAATGAGGTCGCGATATAATTTATGTACCTTGGCCTCATTCTACGTAGTCTTTGGACTTTTCTCGATCACTTAGCAAATCAGACGATACGCATTAGGCTGGCTTCTTCCCAGCACCTAGAGGCCTAACCAGTCGATGCCTCGCATCTATATAGGGATGGGACTTTTCGATGGGCATGAACGGAATAATGGGCCAAACCCTGATCGTAAGTCTGGCGAGGCTATTGCAGTGGCGTGCTATTACGGTCTCCTTTGAGGTGGCAAACGTGTTACCGGGAACGCCACCCTGAATTCTGGAAGCGGAGGCGCTCACTGCTGATTACTAGTGGCGAGTAGAATTCCGTGCCTGTCTTAGTGTTATCTGAGCGAGGAAGGCCCAATCATGATGAAATGATAAGGCATGATCCAGCATCTTCGCCTGGTCCTTGGGAACAAAGCCATTTGTGACCTAGGATGCCTCACTTACCGGTCGGTGCTGAGTTATCATAGCTGCTTTGGAAAGTATTTACAGCGAATCGGAGCTGAGCCGACGGCAGAGTGTCATCACTGAGGATGCGACTTGTGTACCGTAGTTCAAGTACGTGAAAAATGCCATTTTATAAAATTACATGGGGGCGTTGTTGTGTTATCTATTCTGAATCACCATTTCATGTACTAGTTAATAGTAGTCACTGCTTATCGCCAATATTAAATAGCTCATATAAAAAGTTTATAAGTATGATCGTTTGCCTTTAAGGGCGATAAAAAAAATCTTGTAGGAAATGATGGTCAGCTTGTGTTCGCCTATGTAGTTTGGATAATAAAAGACTGGCCATTTCGAATCGTGGGATTATTCCGTTTCTCGATTCTTAGAAAAAAGAAATAATTTACGTAAATATGCTTATATCATGTGTGACCTTCATAACGATACGACAAAAATTCGAAAAGCCATTTACAACACACACACACACACACAAGTGAGAACAGGGTAAATTGTTGCATATTAATAATGTATCAATAGCGTTGTTCAATATGATAAAAAATAATAAAATTTTAGTGTTTCTTTAAATTACCCATGTAATTTAAATAGAAAAAACATTGAAAAACTGAATGTTTTTAATCTATCCCGGCAGCTGGGGGGGAATAAAGTGTCGGTCAGGCAAAGGCGTGGTTTCAATATCCAAAGGTGGGCTTGGCAGTTGTGCCAATTTTTGCGTCAGCCAAATCAACGCATAGACAAATACACCCATTCCAGCTAGCCTGAAAAGAAAACAAAGATTTTGTAGATATGTAAGTTTTATATATAATCATAAGATTTATACGAAACTGCAGGCTTTTCCTTTTTTTACGAAACTTCGACCTCATATTTCATGTTACTTAACTGCTCGTCTTAACACCGAGTGTACGATATACTATTTATTTTTTGGCTTCGCGAAAACTATGAGAAAACATATAGTATCGATTTGACGTAAAACCATATGCTCGCGATAGCGGATATTTTACAGCTTAAATAAAATATTCGCCAAAGAAAATAAAATAGTCCATGTACGCACGTACGTACGTATGTCTGCGACGCTCTAGATTAAAAATTGAGAAAAAATGGTGCGCGTGCATTAGTTGCGTAGAAGTGAAACTTTTTTTTGTGGCGTGTAGTATTGTGGTTTTCTTAATTTTTCATTCTTAAACCAAACTTCTCTTGTAATAGGCAATGCTGTGTATAAGAGAAACAACCCAGCTCAGTTTATTCTTTCCTTCTCTCCACGGTCGAGTGGTTCGCGAGATGCACTGACTATTTTTTCACTCTTGCTCTTCTTAAATTGTATATTTTCTTCGTAGCCGTAACAAATTTCTCGCGAGTTAAATTTTACTCTCAACGCGCCTAATGAAGTTTCACCTCAAAGTTTTTAGGTAAATAGACAATAAATTAAAAATTAATTTATGCAAAACTAGTTACTCTGTAATGAATGTTTAGTCGTAAGCCCTTTTTTGGGTCTCAAGTTAAAGTCAAAATGAAGTTGTATACATAGTTCTAAGTTGCTCTTAGTTTCATTTAGTTATAGACTATAAGTTAAATCCAACATTATTTACAAAAAATACAAATCAATAATAATAGAGCACTTAAATTAAAAAATACAAATAAAATAAGTTCAAGTAAATAATAATATAAAACATTTTTTTGCATTCACTTTTGCTATTTTGTTCTAGGATATACCACTCTCAGGGTATACGATCACTATCACATACTGCCTTAGCATTTAAATAAGAACGATGGAAGAAAGTTTACAAAAAAACTTACATCTCAAACATCTCCGTGGGATTAAATTGAAAGAATTAATTTAGAAAGAATTAATTAGGTAATTTAAATTATGCAATGACGTGAATTGTCACGCTATGCCTGTTAATGCTAATGTTATGGAATAAACATGCAAATTATGTCAGTATTATTGTTGTCTTGTAAAATTCGCATACCGATACAAAATTTATAAACATCCTTATTATTGGATCATGTTAGAATAAATAAAAAGAAGTTAAATTTATATCGTCATAAATATTACGATATTCTTTAAATGTACTATTATTTTTCTAATATTTGTAAAATAATTAGTTTTCCCAAAAACTATTAATTAAACCTGTTTCTGTAAAGTGCTTTTCATGATAATTAGAACAGATAACGAGCTTAAATTGAAATTTTGTATTAATTTTAAAGAAGTTACCCGTTTGTGTACTGTTACTGGCTCAAACTTTTGCCATGATGAAACAGATTAGCTGAAGATTTCAGCCATTCTATTGCAATGTTGGCGTTGAGTCTTGGATTCAACTAGCTTAGCAAGGAGAGCCCAAGCGTGGCCAGCTCTTCTGTCCCATTTGAGAGCTTGAACCACGCAAGCCGTCGCACACGCCCTGCCTGTGATTTGCTCTTGAGTTTGACCGCCATCTCCACCTTCTCCAACAGCAGCTCGCTTAAAAATAAGGAACATTTCTGTTTGACGAGAAAATATGGAGTTTTAATTTATGTACTAGCTATGTTGACTAGACGAGTGCATGGCCTACCTGATGTTAAACGGTTATCGGAATTCAGATCACGAACGTTTTTGAGCCCTAAGATTGAAAGTCTCCATACCGGGATCGTCGTGCACCTATACGGTGCAGGGAATGGGAGTTGTGGCGAACCCCTCTACCCGGGCATATTCTCCTTGCTACACAGAGCAAGGGTGATGTGAAACTGGGGTGAATCAGGGGGGGTGTGTATGCGTGCACGTCCACAGCCACATCGAGATTTATACTTATAAATGATAATGTGGGGCTTGAGTCTAGGGCGGTGAGATGTTCGGCGTTGGGCACCTCCAGGCGCCAATCTGTTTTCCTCTTTATTTTTATTTTTGTTAAATCTAACTTTAATCTCCTACAATCTACTACAACTATTATATCTTCTTCTTCAACCCGTGTTTACCCATTGCCCTCCGTTCACAACTACTATCTATAGAAGGACAATCGGACAAGTCGGTGACTCCGTGTTGTGGCCCCACCTCTGCAAACTAGAGGGTGGCCACGGCACCATCCGGCACTCACTCGATTTGAACTGTTCCGAAGACAGTCGGGGCGGAGAGGGAATTAGACACTCCCTCGCAGGGGGAGTGGACCACCCACGGGGTTGGTGGAAGAGTGGGACAAGTGAGTGGCGTATCCCAACGCTGTGGGAGGAATGAAGAATGTGAGGGTATTCATTATGAGCGCTCTCATATCACTCCGGTTGGATCGAATATCGCACTATAACAGTGGGGTCCAGGAGCTCCCTTGGCATCACCCAACCATCAGGTAGTCTAGTTTGCAAGAGAGCTAGTAAAATACTTAGACTTAAGAAGGAGGTACAGATCTGAAGAGATATTGTGTATACTGACGAAACTTATGTTCACACATCCCATTTAACAGGAAAGTGCTGGATCGATTCTACGGATAAAGGAGTGAAACAGTTAATTTCAAAGGTCAACGTCTTATTATAGTATATGCAGGTAGTGCCAAAGGATTTGTACTGGGTGCTCTACTTATGTACAAGTCTAATGATAATAACCGGTGATTATCCGATGAATAATGTTAATTATGAAAAATGGTTACAGAATCAACTTATTCCCAACTTGTCTCCAAATTCTGTATTAGTAGTAGACAATGGTGCTTATCATAATAAATATGTGAAACATCCGTCCAACTATAATACCGCAAAGCCGCTTATGATTAACTGGTTACAAAAATACAATATTCCCCATAATTCATCATTAACCAAAATACAACTATACGAAATTATTTGTCGACATAAACTTTTTTTTGTAGAATATTCAATTGACAAAATTTTACATCAACATGGACACGAAGAGTTAAGGTTACCGCCATACCATCCCGGCTTCAACCCTATTGAAAACATAATATGATCACAGATAAAAGGTTACGTATCAAAAAGGAACATAGTTTCCTAACTATGTTCCTTTTTGATTGTTTAAAAACACAAATGACTATAAATATCATCATTCCTATGAATGAGTACCTACAGTAAAAACATTGATTGAAAAAAATTTTTTTTTACCCGGATGAATGGAAGAAAGTTTGAGATCATGCCATCAAATGTGAAAATGAATATCACACACAGGAACGCGCGATGAATAATCAAATTGATAGAGATTGTTATTAACGTCATGAAAGCACTGACGAATCTGACGATGATATGTATGACTCTTACTCAGATTGTGAAATGGAAAATATTGAAAACATCGATCCAAATATGCAGTAGGTCAAATTTAAATTTTAATAAAATTTTAAGCCTTTGTCGATTGCATCCTTCTCACATGCAGGTTATTTACTTAGGTACGACAGGGACGCCAATGACATAAAATTTAGGCAAGTGTTGAGTTTTATTATTGGAAATATTTCCCAATTAGCTTTATTTTGTTGTACTTTTAATTATGTTTTAAAGTGGAGATAATGATTTGTTTACTAATGACAATAAAACTGAATATTTTCAAACTTACAGAAGGTGGTTGTAACATAATTATGATTTTAAACTAACATGGTCACGAAGATAACAATTATTACTTAAAAATATCGGGAACTCATTTCGTATAATACACTGGTAAATATCCCGTTTTAAGTAATCATTGTTATGGTTGTAACATCTCTATATTATACAATGACTATTCATTTTGACACATTGATAATGACACTAAACAATAAAGTTCCTTATTAATGGATATTCACTCAATTAATACGATCATTCATTGACAGTTCGGGTGTCATCGTATTCCGATAAAGAACCGAGTTTTCCCGAAAGAAAATAATTTCTCACTACATCTATACAATATTGAAGAGTCACAGAAAATAAATTTTGGGTTTCGGGAATGATTTCTCTTATGTAGCGTATGTTCCTTCATAATAAAACCTTTAATGTTATAGTGTTCAACGAATAGTACCGTTATCCAATCATCAGCAAGTGCCATCCACGTGTAGGCACTGGGTTGTCGTCGCACCAAATCTATTAAAGTAGACCTAGCACGTTGCGCCTCTTTGCATGAAATTGATAGCAGGATGCTAGAACAAGAATTAAAAAATATGCTAATTGAAACTACTTTAATAACAGTAACAAACATTTTAGCGCTTCATAGAAGTTTGGAGGTTCACACGTAGGGAAAATCTTCCACCGACTGGGGGATATTGTTCGTTAGACTTGACAGTCCTTGTATACAAGCTTATCTTGAAAGTGTCGTAAGCGAGCATATTATAAAGTTAAGGATTTTTTTTATGATTGAAGGATTACTTACTGGTGGCCCGTAGGCCTTTCCAGTTTCACCAAGACAGGTGGGCGAGCAAAGGCTCAGCCAGGAGGGGTGAGATTTGCTAAGAGCGTCCCGAGCGCCTCCGAAGGAGACTTAACAACTCAGAGCAACTGCTTTGCGAATGAATCTACTACCGGATCGTAATCGCGACCCGCTGAGAAGATCCGGCGAGAAACTCAGCGAGCTGATTCATGGGCTAGGTTGCACGGCGAACTCGTTGTCGATTTCGACGAGTACGGTTACCGGGGTCCCTAACCCTGCTCCTAGTGTTAGAGCTGAAGGCGTCTAATGAAAAGGTTATTGGATCAGATGGATCCGTAAGGACGTGAGTTAAGGATTATTTACTAGATGGCACTACGTGGGAATGAGGCGCTCGGTCCTGGCCTTTTCATTTTTCATATATATATTTTTTTTATTGTATTTTTTGACTTGTTTTTTCGTTTATTGCAAATATTTTTACTTATTAAAAAAAAAAAGGAAATATTTAAGAAAAAACAAAAAAAAAGCCCGCTGAGTTTGTTTCGCCGGTTCTTCTCAGGACTGTGGCTTTTTTGAAACCGGTGGTAGAGTTAACATTGTTATTTATATTTGACATTCAACAAGTGTGTTATACTGACATCTAAGTTGAAATAAATGATTTTGAATTTGAATTTGAATTCGAGATTCAGGAATCTGTCAAATATCTTGTGTTGCAAATATCTTGTATCAATCATCATAGATCAGTATCAACATTTTTAATTTCTAAAAACTAAGCAAATAATCTAACTATTTGTGGGGTATGTGTTTATTTTTTTAGTGATTTCAACATTTTGACTATTATTTGTAATTAGTACTAATTAGTTACTAACCAAATATTTCTATAAATACAAAGAAAAGGTATATAGTGCTACTACAATATATTTTGATTTAATAATGACTAGGTATTTCGTAATATTTAATGTACAAATATATTTCCTTTACATTTCTTTAATAGTACCTATAATACAAATTGTAAAACCAATAGATTTTACTACAGAAAGTATTTTATTATTTGAAATGGTTCTTTGAAACTAATTACCTACTTACATTAATTAGCTTGCAGCATATACGAATGTACCTGTATGCTCCTATACAGGAACCGGCCTTGTCGAATGATGCAATGGCATCTGTACGTTTCCCTAGTTTATAATAGCATTCCGCTTCAAGGCTTCTCAAGTAATTTATCTAATTTAATATAAATACAATATGAAAATTAATACGTAAAGATGAAATTAAGTGTAGAAATATTTTCAGCTTTTGCGTATCATAATCATAATTACCTAAAAGTACTTTTACGATCATCCGTAACAACGAAAACTGTTTTTTTTTATTGCTTAGATGTGTGGACGAGCTCACAGCCCACCTGGTGTTAAGTGGTTACTGGAGCCCATAGACATCTACAACGTAAATGCGCCACCCACCTTAAGATATAAGTTTTAAGGTCTCAAGTATAGTTACAACGGCTTCCCCATCCTTCAAACCGAAACGCACATTACTGCTTCACGGCAGAAATGGGCAGGGTGGTGGTACCTACCCGCACGGATTCACAAGAGGTCCTACCACCAGTAAGAAGTAATATATATATTTTTCACATTATTATATATAATATATTTTATATATAGAATATAATAATATTTTAGATTAACTATGTTACCTCTCCGTATCTTTCGATTCCTTGTTGGGTATGACACAATGCTTCCACAATGTTGCCCTTTAAACGACAGCAAAGTGCTAGCAAGTGGAAGTATGCTGCAGACTCTTTTGCTTCAATCAATCCTCGAGCTGTACACACTTCTGCTAACTAAAATATATCAGGTTTATCGAATTTTTTAAGTGTTCAATTGTAAACGAGACAAGTTAATGGTCCGTGCGATATTCACTGGATACCGGAGCCTATAAACATTATACAGGCAGTGCAACTTTGAGACACGGGCTTGAACGGGTCCTCAGTTCAATCACAACATATAGACAGTATGCCGGTAGCTAATAAAACGAGCAAATGCTGGTATGATACTCTGAGAATGCTGCTGACAATTCTATGATGAATACCTTAGTTGCCTTTTAGAGCCCCATGTGAAATGCCGTGGGGCTATCCTATGTCAACACTATGAATAACATTATCGTTGCTACTTGTATGCTGCGAATTAGTTACAGATGTTACATTTAATATAATGATAAAAATTTGCACTGACGGAAATTGCTCTGATCCTAAGTAAAAAATCGGCTGCATCATAATATCGGCTCATTCCCGGTAGGAGAGGTGTGTTATCCCACCAGTCGCCGAACTCACGATCCCAAGCTCTCGGAAAATACGGCTCGTCATTCAGTGCTTCAGCGAAGATTCTGTAAAATTAAAAATACTTTTCCATTTTCAATTTTAGTTGTATAAAAATATAACGTTTAAGAGCAAGCAAAAATCACTATTAGCGTTTAGTAACGCGCTCTTTAATGCGTTTACGCGTCATTCGATATCGTTGCGTTTACTATAATTAACGTATGACACCTCACCCCCCCCACACCCACACACAGACACGTTATAAGTGGCGTGCCAGTCGCAAAATAAAAAATACCGAATTTAGTATGATATAGTGTTAGTGATGGCAACAACGAAAAGACTAGTGATGTATAATTGAAATTACCTACACACTACAGATTAATAGGAGAGCTTACTTTTTAACAATTTCCATAATTTTATCGGACACTTCAAACAATCCTCTTTTTATATAGTAGGCACTAGCTATTACCCAAACAGTCGACCAATATGGATAAAAACTGAGAATAGCTTCAAAAAAAGGTTCTGCTAGTTCAAAATCTTCCTCCAGTAGCATAGAGCCTTTGCAGAGTAGACTGAAGTAAAGAAGCCTTTTTAAATGAAAACACTCTTAAACTTCCCTACTATTGAAAAACAAAGTTTTAAAATGAAAATTGAAAAATAAAGTTTACTATTTTGTGTTTACTTCGTAATGTGAAGCTGTATGGAGTGATTTGAATTTTTTTTGACTCCTTTACAAATAACTAGCTTTTGCCCGCGACTTCGTCCGCGTGGAATAGTTCACAAATAATGCTTTATTTTAGAACAAAGCTGTTTATCATAAAAAATGTTATAGTGGGCCAACCTTGACATAGACATAGATATATGCTGTCGCGGACTTTTTTTAGATCTTTAAAGGGGAACAATTCTATCATACATTATTTTACCGAAACTTTAACCGTTTCTGCAGCGCACGCAGCGGAAGCTCTTAAAAAGGAAAAAAAAAACGATTTTGAAACATTCTTTATTGATGCTCCGCTTGTATTAGTCTTAGCGTAATGTTATATAGCCTATAGCCTTCTCCAATAAATGGATTATCTAACATTGAAAGAATTTTTCAAATCGGCCCACTAGTTCCTGAGATTAGCGCGTTCAAACAAACAAACTCTTCAGCTTTATAATATTAATTAAGTATTGATTTCCATTTATGATCGGAATGCTTTTTAACAGTTAAATATTTATAGTTCAAACTATTAGTGCTAGGATAACCACGTAGTCCGTGACCACGAAAACTGTAGAGTATTCGGAACGTTGAAAATAGTACATTGACTCTAGAAACGGGAGATTAAGCCTCATGAGTAGTTTTAATTATTTTTATGACTCGCGAAAACCGAAGCAAATACTGGGAATAATCACTAATTTAAATACTTTACGTGATGGGATCCCTGGGATTCAGATGAATAGATTTATTAATACAAACATTTGCCCAATTCTTGTTAATATCCATTAAAGATATAGAAAGTTCTCGCCAAAGGTTCGCATCTAACGGTTTTTGTGAAACGGCCTGGAATTTAATTATTCTTTTCTAAAATGTAGTTTAGCAAGGATTTTAAGAATGCATTAATGTGGGGTGAAAGACTATAAGGCTTATATATATAGGGTTTAAGCGACATTTTGCTTAGTACTCCACATTTATCTTTGTAATTAAGAGTGTATTTTATTTGGTATTAGCATCAACAGTTCGATGTTTTATTTTATTGAACTTCAATTAAGTTTACTCATCCAAATAGCTGAAAAAGCTTTTTTCTTTTGATATTTTTTCCAAATTTCAAACTTTAAAGGGCCCTTCTGTAAAGTATCTTGTTTTTACCATCACATCGGTCGCCACCAGGGAAGAGTTCGCCCATAATAAGAAAAGTTACTCTGTTCATCTATTGTGCCTTTCTACATATGTAAGTCAGACTACATTTCAACTAAAGACATGATTACTATGTTTATTCTAAACAGACTATCCCAATTTAACAGTAAGGCCTCTTGGAATACCATATCTTTACAGTCTGAGGAGCAGTTCAACCCAAATACAGTCAAATACTCACCCATTATGTTTTATTCCTAACTCATTTAACCCATTGTCATGTTTAGCCTATTTCATCGCGAGGAATAATCATTTTATGAACGTGAAGTGTATTCATGAATATTCGCAGTGAGTAGCCTAATTGTAATACTTCTTGAATTTGTTGAAGTTCAAGTTTTTTACTGGTGGTAGGACCTCTTGTGAGTCCACACGGGTAGTTACCACCATTCCGCCTATTTTTGCCGTGAAGCAGTAATGCGTTTCGACTTGTAGGGTGGGGCAGCCGTTGTAACTATACTGAGACCTTAGAACTTATATCTCAAGGTGGGTGACGCATTTACGTTGTAAATGTCTATGGGCTCCATTAACCACTTAACACAAGGTGGGCTGTGATCTCGCCTACCTGTCTGAGTAATAAAAAAAATTACAGCTGGGTGGGTAAACTACTTGATACTTTGTTAGCATTGACAAAAACTACATGCCTGTAAAAACAATGTAATAGCATGTTCAGGGTCTTGCATTTGACGAGCTTGCCTGGCCGCTCTCAATGTTGATTCAAGTTCCAATCGATTTTCAACACCTACTAAGGTGTCGCAGGCTACACGTAGAAGTGCTACATGTGCCATCATCAACATTTCCTTTAAAAAAGATTTATTTTAAATTAAAATTTAAATCAAATCAATGTGTCAAGTAATATCAACATCGAAACATAGTTTTATTATGGACATAAAATAGGAGTCAGTTTGCTTAACAAAGTTCAGTTTTATATAGTTTGGGTGTGGTAGAAAGGTCTAGAAAAACTTAAGGTATACCTATTATTGTTCTTATAAGAGGGAACTAGACTTTAGCAAATGCATCGAGACATTTTAGCGGAAAATACATATGCTTCATACCTCCAATTCGATGGCGGATGCCAAATAGTCCTTGACAACAAAGTTATTGTTAACATAAACGGCCGCTTCCTGCCAGAAAGAAGTAGCGATTTCTGCTCTTGTTCTTGTCTCACTCAATTGGCGGTTGAAAGCACAGATTTCTGTCATTCCTATTTTTAAATATTGTTAAAACTACATTGTGGAAACATATTATTATCTATCTATACGACAAGGGAATATTCTGTAAAGTTAATACAGTACGGAGAGCATTAATAATCAATGCAGAATGAATTATCTTTTTTTAAATATACATGGGCTAGAACGATTTGTCGATCGTTGCGTTAGCTTAGCCTCTCCGGTAATTCCATTCATAATTTGATAGGATGTTTCAAACTGGGTCGCGGAATTCAGATTGTAGCGTCCATCGATGAAACTAATCATTTAAGGTGAGGATACTCATAAAAGTGTTATTTTCATTAAAATTTTCATGTAGATTTTTTTAGACACAGACACTCTTGTTCTAAATCTACTGCGTACCAACCATGTGATTCATTTGGAGGGCAACACGGCGGTTGTATGCTGTTGTTTTATGCCTGAGGCATTTGCGATATTTATGGGCTCTCGTAACGGCGGACAATCAGCTTCTCTCCGCTTCTTTTTATCACAATAAAATTCACTAAATGCTTTTAAATATATGTGTGTGATGGTTGTATAAATCGAATACCATAATAAGGCACACGTCGCAATGAGTTAGCTGCAGTTATAATGGTGGATTGCCAATTCCTGTCCAATTGTCCTCGTCCTCCACATTCACGTTTATCGGGACCCTCTTCCATTTTTTCAAGCATTGCGTTAATTTCTTTACTAAATGGTAAACCAACATGAATCGCGTTTGCAGTTTTAAGAAATTATAAAACGGAAGCATATCTTTGTATAGATTCATTGAAACTATGATCACGGTATCCTAATTGGTATTGACATACACAATACACTGAGAATGGGCTAAAAAAATATTCTGGGTAGATATAGTAGGCTAAGGAAACAGGGTACTCGTGTCGAAACATGACATTAAGCCGGATTTCAAATCAGATAGATGTCAATATTCAAGTAAACACAAACGTAATACGTGACTTTACGGCTTCCTTATATTCGGTGATAAAGTAATATCGTGTAACAAAAATCGTATTAGTAAAATTAGTAAGCTTTCATAACTAACTCAGCAGATACTGGTGGCATTGTGAAGCCCAAATAGGTGGGTATCATCTTGTACCTCTTATTGTGTTGAAGCAGTCATGAATTTAGTTTGTCATGCATTTAGTTAACTCAAATTTGTATGCATTTAGTTAACTCAAATTTGTACGGAGTTGGAACATGTGCCTACGTTTGCCGCTAGGGGCACTGTTCCAACTACATACAAATTTGAGTTAACTTTTATGCTACCGAGCGCGTTAAAAACTCGTATAAGCACACAGGTTTGAAATGTGGGTGACAAAATTCCTTCTGGGATGCATAAGAGATCTACAAGCGGAAAATTTAACACCTTAACATTAAACGGAACATCAGCTGTATTGTATCAATATTACAGATATATGAATTCTCAATTTAGAACATAAACATATTTTTTTAATAGCAGTGCTTCTCCAGCAATATCTTATATTTTTACAGTTGAATAATAAAGAAAAATATAATGTAGATCGGACACTTACTTCGAAATCGATGGCAGTATTACGATTTTTCTTAAAGGTTTCCAAAGTTTAACTTCGACCATCACAAAAGCATTTGTACCATCGGAACCAGTTGACTGCATTAATTCCGCGCTTGAATGAGCGTTTACATCTGCTGTGACCCTACAATTAGGTACTTTTTGTGCGCAATTAGGTGCGCAATTTTTAATGTACGGTAACATACTTTTACTTCTTACTTACTTTTGAAGTCGTCGTGGCCTAAAGGATAAGACGCCCGGTGCATTCGTACCTATCAATGCACTGGTGTTCGAATCCCGCAGGCGAATACCAATTCTTCTAATGAAATACGCAACTAACAAACGTTCACGATTGACTTCCACGGTGAGGGTATAAATAACATCGTGTAATAAAAATCAAACCCGTAAAATTATAATTTGCGTAATTACCGGTGGTAGGACCTCTTGTGAGTCCGTACAGGTAGGTACCACCACCCCGTCTGTTCCTACTGTGAAGCAGTAATGCGTTTCGGTTTGAAGGGTGGGGCAGCCTTTGTAATTATACTGAAACCTTAGAACTCATATCTCAAGGTGGGTGGCGGCTTTTACGTTGTAGATGTCAGTAACCACAACAGGTGGGCTGTGAGCTTGTCCACCCATATAAGCAATAATAAAAAGAAAAAAGAAACTTCTTTTATCTATAAACTCTTTTTCTTGGTCTTCTAATTTATTCAACAGATAAAGCCTTAAGATACAGTTAGGTATATTAAAAAGTCTTGGGACAGATTTATCGTGTCCATTAGAACATTTAATTTGTATAAAAAACTGGCCCGTAGCACCGGCTGATGATGCAAATGCGAATAACCAAAAACAAAATCAAAACTGGTCTTGTAGGCGTTGGGCATAGTATATGGCTCCGCAGTGCGTAGTAAAATATTTAGGCTGTTTGATATTGGCTTAGAACAAAACCACCTCACTTCTTCCCGAAGTTATGTACGTTGATTGGTTATCGTGACTAAGAGGTTCAATGAATTTTGCGTTTTAGGCAGCGTTCTCTGAGTATTATAAGTTTGTTTTACTTGCTTAAGATTGTGATTAATCTCAGGGCCCATTTGCTGTTATGTGAATACCGAAGCTAATAGATATGAATGCCCGACTTGAGACATGAAGTCTAAGTCACATTTGTATAGTGTAACGACTGTCCATCCTTTAAATCGAAGAGCATTGCTGCTTCACGGCAGGATTAATAAAAAATAATAAGGGTGTCGGTATCGGTGTGGGCTCATTATATGGTCATACCACCAGTAACATTGTAATCGTTAACCCGGTGTTATTGGTGTAAAGTCCGGTTAGAACGGTGGAGCAGTTTTTATGCAACACAATTTAGACGGCGCCACTCTGTCTCAAAGTGGACAGCAGCATATAGTTCTGATTAGGTTCAGTGGTCCTTTGACACCTGGGCCATGGGCCATGGGCTTTTTGCCCATCTAAGCCAATAAAAAAAACAATGTATTTTAAATAATGAGGAGCGCACATTTCATCAATCGTTTTTTTAAATATTATAGCAACTTTTATATCGTTTTTTGAATTTATGTACCTGTAAATATATAAGAATAACGCAGAGTTTTAAGATGGTGCACCACTAAGAAGTTACATTTATACATTTTTGTCTATACAATAGCCAATAGCATTCGAGTGCAGCAGCAGACGCATATGAGGAATTTTATGGAACCCTAAACAAATTACAACCAAAAAAAAACAATTTGGTTCATACAACTTTTGCCCTTAAAGAATTTTGCGTCAATGAGGATTTGACGTAAACGGATTATTACAAATCAGTAAAATATAAATTTTATTGCGGAAATATAAAAGAAAAACATTTGGTTAATTTTACGCAAATTCTGTAGAAGCGTAACCTAATTTTGGTTTACGCGTGAATGTCTGAACGTTTGGCAAATTCTTTAGCACGCCTAAACATTTTGACGGATTTTTACATACAAGGTGTCATTAGATTTGTTACAATTATCGTGGTCATGGCGAGTCATATCGAGTATATTAAGGTATACTATTACAATCACATTATGTCATGGTACGACAATTTATTCATTGTATTCTATAACATAGAACGAAACATCTCTGCCACATTAAAAATACTATCAAGCAAATCAATAAAATCTAATTTGTGTGTAATATAAAAGTCTTCATTAGAATACTACAAATTTGGTTCCGGTTTCAACACGTTTATCAACATAACTATGTAAATATGTAGTTATTCGCTTGTTTATTAGTTTTTTTAAAGTGAAATGCTAACATCGTCCTAAAAAGTCTGAGATGGACTGTATGAAATAAGATATGCGCGAGAAGGATATGAGTGCAGAGGTATCGTATGATATGGTCTGAATGGAAAAAGAGGACAATCTGCGCTGACACCACATGATGGGATAAAGGCAAGAAGATGAAGTCAATATTTTTAATGCTGTTGTGTTTTAGGATTAGTTAGGATAGGTAATGTACTTTAAATCATGGGATTTATGTTCTTTTGGATCGAATTTTAATTATATAAAATTACGGAGTCCTTTAGACACGATCTAAATGAAAGTACCGCTATCTTTGAGAAACGACATTAAAGCATCAATTACGTTGAAATGAGTGTATTAAGTGCTTCCGTTATTTTCTCTTATTATCATCTGGAGCAGAGTTCATCCTTAGAGCACCATTTTTGTCACGCATCGTCCGGCTCTCAAATAAGCTCTGTACGTTGCTCCACAAGCACAAATTTTCTAATGAAATACGCACTCAACAAATGTTCACGATTGACTTCCACAGTGAAGGAATAACATCGTGTAATAAAAATCAAACTTGCAAAATTATAATTTGCGTAATTACTGGTGGTACGACCTCTTCTGAGACTGCACGGGTAGGTACCACCACCCTGCCTATTTCTGCCATGAAGCAGTAATGCGTTCCGGTTTGAAGGGTGGGCCAGCCGTTGTAACTATACTTGAGACCTTAGAACCTATATCTCAAGGTGTGTGGCGCATTTACGTTGTAGATGTCTATGGGCTCCAGTAACCACTTAACACCAGGTGGGCTGTGAGATCGTCCACCCATTTAAGCAATAAAAAAAAACTATGACAATTTGTTATTTAAGCGAGTCTCCAGCGTAGACAGAGCCTTAGTTGTACCTCTGCCTTTGTAGATGTCCACACTAATGAGGGACATAACTTTGTCTGCCATTAATGGGAGTACAGAAGCAAAGCATAGCAAAGAACTATGCTTTTGAATAGCAAATATCAAATCTCAAATCTCCGCTTATGAGGCCACGAATTCTATATTAAGTAGTAGGGTATGTTGTAGGGCCACGAAGGTTTGTATCAATAAATTTGAGAGCGCATTTTAATGTGAAAGATATTAGATACAGCTTCTACGCCATCGAGGTGCCGCATTAGGACGAGACTACGCATTATCAGCCCTACAAAGGATAGGTAATAAAACAAAAGAAAAAAAACCTGTTAGCTTTTTGTGCAGTGCCTGGAGTCAAAACCTTTTCATTCGATGATAACAGTACATCACAGCCACATTTTTCTAAAATTAGGTCAGCATTTATCCATTGTAATGGCACAGCTAATACTACCGTAGTTTCTGAAAACCATCATTTATTGATTTCTCAAGTTTTTTAACACATACTTATCCTCACTAATTTAGGTTTTTACCTACGAAATTGCCGTTTGGTATACAGAAAGTTGAAGTTATTTTTTATAAATATTTTTTATTTATATCAATCAAAATATGCATCCATGGTAATTGCCTAGCACATTGAATATTGCTTAAGTGCTGAACCAGGGTTTAACTAACGTGATGACCGCTTACGATTATCTCATATTGCATAATTACTCATATTTTTATCGAGTCCATGTTGATGAAAAATATAAAAATGCAGTGAAAATAAAATTTTAATCGAGAAATAAATTCCTGAATTTGAAAACAGAATTCCATATTTTCAAAATTAAATTGATTTGAATTGATTGCCAGCCACACATACAAATTACATTTCAAATGACTGTAAAGCGACAATTTCATAGGTAAAGGACCTACTATTATAATAACGAAAGTACGTCCGAACCACTGAATCGATATCGACGAAATCCGGTTGGTATGTGAATAGTTTGAAACCTGGTAAAGAATAGCCTAACTCTCATCCCATTGCTAAGAACGAGTTTCCGCCCAGGCGAAGCTACACGTGAAAAACTAGATAATATTAAAGATTGGTACCATAGTCATGTCATGTCCATTTCTGTGGTACGATATCATTCCTTAGCGTGAAAGTATTAATTTACAGGTTCATTGAATATGCCGAGGGCGACATCCCATGACACCCCTGTGCCGATGTGCAACGCACACTTTGCATCATAGGTTATGCCGCCACTGACTTGATAAGAGTATACCGAGCGCCATTATAATGAGAACACGGAGGCATTAAATATCAACAACTCTACCAGTTATCTAAGGTAATAAAAGCTGAAGGATGGCACACGCGGCAGACCAATAAGCCCAATCGGTAACTGGTTTTGACGGTGTTCTATTGCTTCCCCAAAAAAAGTATAAATAACATAATTTTCAATTGGGACTTCCTTTCCTAACAGGATTGACAAATATTACCATCAGCCAGTTGTTTCAGAAATTATTTCTCTGTCATTTTTTTCATAACTTTTTACCAAAATATTTTAAATTATATCACATGTCATTACCACCAGGGTAAAGAAGTTTGAAAAGGTTTAATGGAGCGGCGAAGTCGTAGCTTTGTTGATCATTAGAAATATGTATTTCGAAAGGCCAAGAATACTGACGAAGGTGTTTAAAAAACCATTCTTGAAGGTTTTGTAGTAAAAGAGTGCGATGAAAAGAAGCCCAGGTTACTGTATCTGGAAAGATAATGTTTATCATTTTTAATTTAGGTCATCTTATGAACTTACGGATCAATTTGCTTTAGGTGGTTACTGGAATAGATTTTTTTTTAACGTGGTAGTGATGATGGTCTCAGGAACCCCGTTAAACCAGGTAGATCATGATTACTTTGCAATCTATTTCAGTAAAGAGAGATTTTTCTTACGGGCACTGAACTGATTCTTCAGGTAATGTGTTAAATTAACTTCGTCTTCATTTTGTATATCAGCGTAATTGTAAACAAGCTTGATATCAGTTTTGGAGAAGTAATTTCCTTCAGCTCTGAGACTCTCCCAATTTGGGATAAAATTAGAGAAATTAAATCTTTTCGGTTTTCGGTATCCATTATGAAATGTAAAAATATTTGAATTCTGCAAAAATTTTAGACTGTAAGATGTGAATGATATGTAATAAACGATAATTATTTTAAAATGTTAACTCACCAATTCATTGCTTATAGGCATTTTAGTTACCGCAGTGTAAAAATGTTCGTTGTCGTATGTGAAAGGCATATTGTGCGATGCTATCAACGTGAGTTGCATAAAGTTTGCTTGCTTAAGTATTTTGTGATGCATTACATTTTCTTGATCTCTAGTGGCGGAAATTTCTATAGTGACGAGTGGAAGGGTCTCCCAACTCTTCTTTTCCAGCAATGGAAGCTCTTTTATCGGTTCCATTCGCTTCTTGAAGCGAATGTTCTTTTTGTCTTCAATCGACACAAAATAATGCATCGATAAATATAAATCGGTGTTATTAGCGTACCTAGTTTTTATAAATGCAACCCATGCTCGGACATTCACAATGGGAATTCATTTTTGGCGAATTGTCAGCATTCGTGAGGAAATATCACGTGAAGTACCATTAGGATTATCCGACAATACCTAATATGGGCATACTCCTGTGTGGCCTGCCAATCAACGAGGCTATAAAGACTGCCGAGGACAGGAAGACGTCGGGAAGCATTGTGCATCGAGTGGTCAACGTTTCAAATTACACACGACCTTCAGCAATGAAGAGACTGACTCAGTAGAAAGAAGAACCTTGTGTACCCCGTTTCCAACTGGCACATAGACCACAATGTAACGTTATCATAAGATGTATTATAGAATACAGTTTAAATGACACTTAGCAAGCAGTAATAGCAAACAAACTAGAGTAAATTTTTATTAGGTACGTTAAGTTTGAATCCAATATTGTCTTAGTTTAAAAACTTACCAACAAAAATAGGCAGAATGTCCACATTGCAACAACTGACCTCATGCGATATACTAGAAACTGATGTATTCAAATTAACATCATCCAAGCTATGCCCGGAAGCGTAATGGTCAATGAAAGATTTATCATTTTCCACATTTCTTAAGGATTGAATACTCACTGCAAATATTAAAGCAATCTGATGTTACTATTTTGAACATTTGCTAGTATATTAAATTAAGGAATCCGATGTAAACGATATCCGATAGGTGAACTATAGTATAAATTACATTTAATTTTATGAAAATATTAATGTGGCACGTTTGTGGTTGTGGCTCTAGACATTCATAGTTTTTCTATATCTTTTACTTGTATAAATATATTTTACTTAAAATTAAGAATAATATTAACTGGAAACCAACTTTATCAGTTGCCAAATAAATCCATTCAATACGGTGTCAATAAATACATTCATTGGTGATTTTAATGGAACTATTCTGCATATCCCAATGTAAATTAGTTAGCTGCTGCTGTTGCTTAGATTACATTACAAGATTAGATTAAACTATTTGTTCCGAACTTTGGCAAGATACGTAGCAAAACATTTTTCATAACTTTCAATGTGTGAATCAGAGTACATTTTCATGCCATATTTAAAGTATTACCTTTGTTCAATGGCTCTACTCATACGTTGGTATGCAAACGTGCTATCAAAATTCTGCTGAAATGATTTTTTCCGGCAAAAACAGACGTTAGACAGCGGCCTTAAGCACTCAACTAGGGCCAGGATTTCGATATTAGATGAGCATTACGTACCGGTCAGAGGATAATTAGCGAACAGGCACATTTTTTCATAGTCTGAAGGATCATAGTCGAATGTTCCTTGTGCGATTACTTTATCTATCATTGTTTCTCTAGCTCCTATTGCTTCGATTGTGGCGTTAATTAAAAGTTGATCGAAAAACACGACTTTTATGTGAAATAAAGAAGGTATTTCTTCAAAAGACCGCAATTTTAGAATTTTGACTGTTATTTGGTCCAATGGAACTGTAGGTATATCTTCCTTGACTTGAGTACATGATTTGGTAGTCGAAACCGAGACTTCAGAACGTTTCTGTGAAAATTATGAAACGGAGCGATACACAGAGAGTTTTTCATTATGTATATTTATTGTACTATGTGTATAGACAAGTCAAGGGTAACTGCTTTCTGTACCAGGCTACTAGCCCAGCTGGATAACGAAAGTTTCATAAGGTGTTGGTTGAAACTTTTCGCTATCAGACGGCGGTAGTCTCGTGTGTCATTTCTAAATATTTAATTAATAATTCCTTTTCTGCCTTCACGAGGTTCTCGTGATAAGGAATGATGATTTCAATTAACACTGCTCGACACTAATGGTGATATTGGTATATTAGTATGCACTAAGATATTTAATAGGTCGGGGAAAAAGTTTCTTCGCATTTTTTAAGAAAATTCACAACATTTTTTATTATAGTTTATTTACATTTAACTAAAGTATGTAGGTACCATTTTGTTCGATAACTTTTTGCCATCTTGTAGGTAGGGACATGATTCCATTGCTTTAGAAATTTTGGGGCTTCTGATAAATTTCTGACAATTCGTTTTGGTAGTCCTCTCATGATGTTAACCTGACACTGCCTAAATAATACTGAAGGGACCGAAACAGGTGGAAATCTGCAGGTACAAGATCAGGACTATACGGCGGATGCATTAAATTAACACCTCCCAGCCAAGCCCTCTTAATTTTTGCTGAGTGGCTAAAGGTGTGTGAGGTCTAGCGTTATGATGATGAAAAACCACACTCCGGTCGCTTTCTCTCAACTTCTTGCTTTAATATCATCAGTTGTTCGCAGTAGAGTTCAGAATCGATGGTCCTGCCTGGTGGTAACAGCTCATAATGAATAATGCCCTTCTAATCCCACCACACACTCAGCATCACCTTGTTGCGAGTTAACCCGGGTTTCGCCACAGTCTGTGAAGCCTGACCGGGCTTTGACCACGACCTTTTTCGCACGTTCTTGTCGTACGTGATCCACTTTTCATCACCAGTTATTAGCTTCTTCAAAAATGGTTCGGTTTTATTACGTCGTAATAAAGAATCACAAATAAGTACACGGTTCATTAGGTTTCTTTCAGTGAGCTCGTGAGGTAAACAAATATCGAGCTTTTTTGTGTACCAATTTTTTTTTTAATGCGCCAAAACTGTTTTGTTGTCGATTCCCAGTTCTTCAGCTACGTCGTAATAACTGATCATTTTATCCGTAATAGGGCGACCAGAGCGACGTGCATCTTTGACATAAAAAATTCCGGATTGAAAACGCTTAAACCAAATTTGTGCTACTCTCACAGATACTGCACTAGGTCCCTAAAAATCGCAATTTTTTTTCGCCGCTTGGTTTGCAGTTTTACCTTTTTTGTAGTAAAATTTTAAAATGTATCGAATTTCTTCATTAGATTCACTCATCTTGACAGTACGAAAAATAAATAAAAATCACACATTTTCCTAATTTGAATTTGGAAAATTATCTTCTTTAAAATTTAAACTTTTAATGATACCATAACCAGCCAGATACAAATAGTATAGCCAAAGAGATTTTATTACAAGTTCATACATACTATAATGCGAAAAGACTTTTTCCCCAACCTATTATGTTTAACCTGTTTACCCGTTTTATCGAAGTATATTAGTATATAGATCTGGATATATTCACATATTAGTTAAAGTGTTATAATATTACACAATGAATATATTCGTATTTGCTAATACTGATGAATATCGGTATAAACACGTAGACTGATCTATTATCACAATATCATTTCTTGGTACCTTACTATGTACCTAGCTGTGTACCTGTGATAATTATCATTACAAAGAGGTTTGTTACGCTCTCTATGTTCACGTTGACATGTAAAATGACCATTTTCATATATTGTTTGTGATTTTTTGTTTTTATAAGTTATTAAGTTGCGAGCTTTGAACTCATGAGAAACGTATTTCGTAAAACCAGATTTAAACCTTGGAAGCATACCGGATTTCAATCCTGAAAGCAGGATTTCCTGATTACCTGAAATCCGGTACCGTCTGATCGCTCGAATGTAGTGCTCCAAGTATTTTATCATAAACAGGATTCGTACATTTTATATCTAGCAATGCTTGAAAAGTTTTTTATTGCTATCATACTCTTAGTATAAAATGTTACTACAAGTATTAAGTCAATTGTTAAGAATAATAATCTTGACATACCTTCTGTACTTTCATTGTGCTAGTTTCATTAAAATCATTTAGACTTAAGTGTCGATAATTAAATGTAATTGTGATGTTTTATAATTTTTTCTTTTGCTCGTGTTAATACAGATATAGTCTTCAGTAGTCTTTGTATTACTTATGCGCAGTCATTAAATAACATTGTGTCAAACGTACTACTAATAAGAGGTTACATTCTCTTTGATTGCAAAACGTAATAATTATTGCAAAGAGAATATAATCAATAGTATTATTGCTTATTGACGTGGAACCGATTGGATTGTATAAAAAGTTTTGTAGAATTGAAATTCACTGTCTTCGCAGAGACGAGAAAAAGAAAATAGGGCGGATTTAAAAAAAATATATTCCACCTAATTTTGTCGGTTGCTAATTTCAAACCGTTACCTCAAATCGCCACATTTGTCATCAAAAATCTAAGGTTCTAAAGGCAGAGTCGCCATTTATTTATTTATGACACTTCATGTATTTATCTACATTGGCGGAGTTAATTATTATTATAGCAGGGCTATAAAGTCGTCGTGGCCTAAAAGATAAGACACCCGTTGCCTTCGACTGTGCGTGTCGGTGTTCGAATCTCGCAGGCGGGTTCGAAAATATCTGCATGAAAGTGCAGTTCTACGGAGCTATACTTCTTTGAGACAGTTGTGGAAGAGCAACGGGTCGGAGGTGTGTGGGACTTCCGATGCGGCAAGCTGGTTTTGTTACAGCGGGCTATTCCGGAACAATAACGGCACCATCCTGGGCGGCTTGACGCACTCCTGTACCGCGACGGCCGAAGTAGGGCCCTCAATTATCTCCTCGACGACTCCTCTGGGTGTCCTTGGAGTGATCTGAGAGTTAGTTTGTAGTGTTGAATTCAACGCTTATGTGCTGTTTGTCATGATATTTTGGCGCTGGAACGTGGAAATTGACCGTAGGCTCGGTCCGTAAATTCAAAATCGCCCAGCGTGCTATGAAAAGTGGTATGCTTGGAGTTTTTTTAATGAATCGAATCAGAAATTAGGAAATCGTCGAAGAACCAAAGTAACCGACATAGCCCGTATTTATTATTTATAGCTGACCCGGCAGACTTCGTAGTGCCTCAATCGATAAATAGAAGACTTTTGTATAAAATAAACTTAAAACAAACAAAAGGAATCCGTCCGACGGGGGACACATCAAAGGAAAAACAAAATTGTTTGTTTTTATATAATTCCGAGCTTTTTTATATTTTTTCACCTTTTAAACCTTCCCTGGACTTCTACGAATAATTCAAGACCAAAATTAGCCAAATCGGTCCAGCCGTTCTCGAGTTTTAGCGAGACTAACGAACAGCAATTCATTTTTATACCTATATATAGAGATATAGATTTGTTTACGGATGTTATGTTTGATATTGTAATCAACAAAATGGGTATTTGAGAAGGGATTGATAACGTGTAATAACCAATCAATCGGCAAAAAAACAATTATAAAACAGTATTTAGTTTCGTTTTAGACAGTATGAGGAGCCTCAACCGCATTTTGCGAAAAATAGGTACATAATTATAGGCCAAATGCTGTTAGATAATAATTTTAACATAATTACAATTTATTACTGCAAAAAATTAACAAAAATGTACAGAATGATAGAAATAAGGATAACTACTACTGATAGAAATAAGCTACCAGAAAATATCAACTTGACATTTCTGAGTTTATTTGTACGTTTTAGTTTACAGGATGTTTATTGTGTGGATGTTATATCGATCGTTTATGTAGAGGTGATTTCGTCGAACTGAAGATGAAATAGCAAATTTAGTAATATTGACGACGTCACAGTGCTTTAACAATAACGCAGGAATCCCGAAACGATTATATGAAAAACTAATGTTCCTCTGTGATCGACCATAATCACAGGCCCCTCAAGATTGTAATTCATTAGACGTTTATTCCGATAGGACATCCGTCTTATTAGGCCACAAGCACGTGTAGTTAACGAATATATCTAAAAATTAATTTAAATATTAACGTATATTATGAAGGGAGTAAACAATTTAGAACACATGTAGTAAAGCAAAATAAGCAAAATTAAATAGATTTACATCATTTCTGACAGTAGATAATAAGTAAGTTGTATGTGACAAGAAGGGTTCCATCTTCATTGATGAGGGCCATTCCGCGTGCCACTTCGAACAAATCATCAATAAAATGTTCAATCTTCTCATTCGGGATCTTGAAGGGATTCACTGCTCTCATAATTTCTTTAAACAAATGAAAATGAGATATTACTATAAATATTACAAGCTAAAAAAATTTTATTTCGATAAAAATAGAAAAGTAAATTATGGTAAAAAGTTAAATTTTCAAAGTAAAACTTTCAAGTTCGAAGTTGTACGTAATAGTAATTAATTTATTTCCTAAATCCTGTAATAATACAATTTATATATAATATATTGGTCATTAGAATCCTAATGTATGTATATATGTATGTAGGACGGACAGGCGGATGGATAGATGGATGGAATTATTTTAAGCAATGGTATGGCAATCTTAATCTAAAGTTAAATTAATTCTAAAGTTTTTTAAGAATTTTACTGTTTTTTTTGGAATCTGTACTAATATTATAAAGCTGAAGAGTTTGTTTTGAACGCGCTAATCTCAGGAACTACTGCTCCGATTTGAAAAATAATTTCAGTGTTAGATAACCCATTTATTGAGGAAGGCTATATAGACTATATAACATCACGGCAAGACCAATACAAGTGGAGCACCAATAAAGTATGTTTCAAAATAGGGGTTTAAATAGCTCCTAACATTCTATAATTCAAAAATATTTTTACTTTCTACGTAAATGAAGTGGGGGTAAAATTTAGCGTTATGCCAAAGTAACTATTTCACGCAAACGGAGTCGTGGGCAAAAGCTAGTATTATGATATAATTGAATATTAATTTCAAATTCAGTCAATATTTATTGATTAGTGTTTTAATTTCACAATATTTGTATCTTTTTCATCAATATGGGCACGGTAGGCAGCGGCTTGGCTCTACCCAGGGGTAGAGCCAAGCCGCTGGATTTCAGCGACAGTTACTACTCACCATCAGCTGGGCCGTATGCTCGTCTGTCTACAAGGGCAATAAAAAAAAAAAGATTAAAAACGTCTAGCGAAGGCGAAATCCTCGAGGTTACTAGTTTTTTCCTAGTATAGTTTTCGGCAGGTAGGTAAACGATAATTATGAAAATACGTGTAATTATAAAAAACGTGTTTCGTTATGGCATCATTGCCGTCAAAAAACTTGAAAGGTGTGTGCCGCCCGAACTGCACGATCGCTAGCCCGCGCGCACGATCGCTTTAATCTTATATAAGGAACCTCGGAGAATCTTGAGGTGATAACATATGCGAATAGAGCATAGTACACACACAACAAACACCCTCCATGACAGAGAGTGGTCATATTATTAGATGTTATATTAATACGTGAAGCAAAAACTTTGTATCCCTTTTTACGAAAATTGCGCGGACGGAGGAGTATGAAATTTATAGAGAATATACAGAAAAAGTGCACAATGCTAATATTTTTTTAAAATAATGCAAAATAGATACATTAAATCAATAAAGAAAACGTTACACACACTACGAGTACATACCATGTATTTGACGCACACACGCATGCATACTATTTATTGTCAAACCTTTTGTTCTTGACGTCTGTGGTCAAATTGAGAATAGATTAAATATTGTTTGTCTTTATTAATATTTTTTTAAAGAGTAGCCTGGGCGAAATTTGAGATTATAGAAGTATAAAATACAATCATAATAGTGTACAAACTTACAATTCCAATTAATTATAGTCGAATTTCGACTACCGGGAGACTACTAGTATAATATAATTGATTATACCTCGCGTTGCCGAACAGACATAGAAACAACAGGATTTTGAACACTTGTTACTTGCGATGAAAAATGCATTATTTTTGATATTCGTAAGGGGTCATCATTGTTGCTTAGACCTTGGTTCAGCACCTGGGCAGTGCCCCAAACGAAAATTTACCCCATTAAATATGTTTTGTCATTGTTTGGTGGTTGCCGGTATAATTCATAACATATTTTTACCAAATGACACTTACATTATTGTGGATTTGTATGGACAAAAATTTTTTTTTTACAACCGCACTAATGTATCCATCCACAAAGAGCTCCAAATCAAACAAAGGCTTCCGGCGATTATGCAATTGCGAATCCTTAATATGTTTGGACATATCATTTGTAATGAAAGCTCATTGGAACGTTTAGTGGCTCAAGGAAGAGTAGACGGTCAACGCTCTCGCGGCCGATCATCCACAAGGTGGACTGATTTTATGAAGTCATCTACGAAGTGTTTGTTGCCTTACTTAATGTACACGTACCGCCACAAATAGACAGAGATGGAGAAGTCTCTCAAAAGCCCCAACCAAACATTAAGACATACGTAACGACGACCACTCCGTCAGGAGTGTACGACTGAGAAGAAAAAGAATGGACAAAATTATAGAGAATCTCCGGTCAGCTTTGGTTAATTGGTCATCCCTGCTGCTCGTACACGAGAACGTCTTGGTGACATTGTTAAATTATTTAAAATGATATCTCCATGCACTAATAGGTCTATCGACTAATCGACTTGTAGTATATGTTTACATCTTTATCCCAGGAAACAGCAGCGTATTTAATTATTTTGATTTAGAAATTTATAACCGGTGACGTCTAAAAATTTGTCCTATATCAATAGTGAACTCGGACAGTGACATACTGCTCACGGTTGTGATTACCGTCGCCCATGGACGTCAGCAGTGCAGTGGGGGACAGCCAAGCCGCTGCCTACAGCCTAATACTCTTCGCAAACCTCGTTTGAAGAAAGACATGATATAGGGTATAGGAAAAACCGTGAAGGGGAGTTCATTCCAAAGCCGGAAGGTACGTGGTAAAAAATATATCTGGAAACGCAACGTCGATGAACTTAGAGATTCTAGATGTCTAGAATAAAATGTACAATATAGTAAATTAATAAATATAATAATAAAGAATAAATTATAGTAAAAAACACGAAGAGAACCGAAGTCCCTTCATGGTCTGTGTTATGGAGTTAGTGATTAGAAGGTAGGGAGTTAAGACCTTTCGTCGTTACGTCCATACGTCCTCATATTGCCAATATCGTATTAAGTAATATGGTAGAACTTAATATGGTATAGTTATATTTATAAGCGGTCGAGTGGTCACCGTTGCTCATGGACATCAGAAATGGCGGAGGCACAGACAAATTAACTGCTGAGAACTGAAATTATATTTATTAAATAACTAGCTGACCCAACAGACTTCGTAGTGTCTAAATCGATAAATAAAAGACCTAAACTTTTGTATAAAATAAACTTAAAACAAACAAAAGGAACCCATCCGACGGGGTGGACACATCAAAGGAAAAACAAAATTGTTATTTTTATTTAATTCCGAGCATTTTCATATTTATCTACCTTTTAAACCTTCTCTGGACTTCCACAAATAATTCAAAACCAAAATTAGCCAAATCGGTCCAGCCGTTCTCGAGTTTTAGCAAGACTAACGAATAGCAATTCATTTTTATATATATAGATATAGATTATTATAGTTTCTGCTGTTATTTAATCGTTAGCCTATTCTATGATATCGGTTCTAGGTTTCTCTATCCAAAGTTTCTCAATTTGTAGTGATCAGTGACTGTTGAGATTGAAGCTTACCTCGAAATTCCCGTTTTTGATAAGAGTAAGTCTTTTGTTTCGTTTGAATTTGGACGTGTTTAAATCCAATCTTTTTTAACATTTCTTCAATTAAGTTATCTGGACTCTGCAAATTAAGTTAATCACACAATCAACGTTTATAGTTATCAGTTTTATTCTCCTACACACGCCGAAAGTTCGGTTTTCCTCCCGCTGTACAGGGAAGAAAGTGTAACTTTTCCTCCCTGGGTACTGACAAGTGCGCATGCGCGTTAGTGTCTACGTCTGCTCTCACGCACCTAAAAGTCTGCGCCATTGTTGTGCTCGGGTAATTTGCAATATTGTGTTTAGTGTAAAAGTGAAATAAACAAAAGGCAATAAAATTTAATAGTGAAGTATTCAACGAAGATGAGTTCATCAGACAGTTTTATTCAATTAGTAGTAGTTTATTTCAAAATAAAAAAAACAGTTAAATTGCTTTTTTATGAGTATGGGGGTCTCCGCTTCCACTACCGAGGCGGGGCCAGGGCTTCGCCCCTGGACCCCGGCTCGGTACTCCACGAACTTTCGGCATGGTAGGAGAAAAAATAGTATGTGCACCGCGGGAAAAAAGTAGGACATCTCATCCCGCTGCTTTACACGCAGAAGGAAATGTCCTACTTTTCTCCCTTGGTGCACAATGTACTATTTCAGAATTTTAGTTCCAGTTTACTAGAGGTCTTGGTATGGGTACGGGCTAGATAGTGAATGAGTAGGAATTAATTTGAACCAAAGCTTTGGGTTACAATTAAGGTCATATCTGTTTAAATGTTTATAGGAATAAAATAATAAATGTTATAATAAAACTAAATTAATTAGAATTAAAAATCAGAAACCAGCCCTAATTATACTTACCAACTTACAGAATAACATTAATATTCGTTCACTAACAACTTTTACAGTCAAAAAGGTATGCTAATAGTATCGACCTTCGCCGATCTGATAACCAGATGAAACTTTTTTTTTATCAAATATATTGAAGTGAAACTTCTTTAGAATCGTTGTGATTTCAAAATCGATGAAACGAAATGAAACGAAACGAAAAAATAAGTGTGCCGTGATTGGCTTGCCGAAGCGGCTCCCAGCGGCGCCGACAAATCACGAAGCGCTCCACACGGTCACGCGTCCCCTACTAGTTTAGTGTGTTTTCTCAAATATATTAAGTGTATAATCTATGTTTTTGACGTCCGTGCACGCTGTCGTGGCTCTCGGAGCGCCCTGAGATACTTTTATTTCTATTTAGTTTGTTATCAACAGACGTCGCTGCACGTAAATTCAACAATTCCTGAATCGCGGTGACGAGATGTTTCACAGTTGATTGACGTTCTCGTATTTCTCTTGCTAAATCATACTTACCTGGCGTAGGGATACCGTGATCATGCAGGCGATTCCCCCAGATTGAGGCGAGCAGCCTTTATAATAGCCAGTTATAATAAATTGGAGTTCAAAATTACTGACAAGTGTAAATAAATGCTGTCTCTGTCACTCACATGTACGCGAGCATGCGCACTCGGATATATTTAACGGTCAGGTAGCGTGCAGTTGCTATGTTGTGTCCTGTTCTACCACACGGACTTCGGACGCTCTACTTTCTCTCTCGCACCTATCAAATGGCTAAAACTCTAAAAGTTTTTAGGCTAGGCTAGGCAACAGTACTTTAAGTATGATTTTCTGCAGGCAAGTTATAGACTTGCCTGACTATTTGTAATGAAATAAACTAAAATTTGATATAACTCTCGATATGTTAGCAGATCGATGGAGTCACCTATATTGTCTTACCTGTTCACATCTGCATGCCAGGTAGCCATACACAGAAATGAGTAGGCAAGTTTACCTAGGTATATTCTGTGTGTTAAAAACAGTGAAATAAAATTGATTTGGTTGTCAAAAGAATGAGCTTGATGAAAAAAAATCGATTAAAGTTAATTTAATTAAAAATAGCCATGAGCACTTTTAGACAGCCAAGTAATTATAGGCATAATTACTTATAAATTATATTTGGTAAAAAATACGTCTCATCTGGTTATTAGATCGGTGAAGGTCGATCTCCCACCGGCTCTTAGTCTAAGATAAATCATAAAAACTTTAAACAGAAACAACGTTCTTACCGAAATGTTATAGTATGGTGACAAAAAAGTAGTCATATCTTGTAGCCAGTCTCTCCATTTTTCAGAATGTTTCAAAATCACATAAAAGTGGTACATTTGTGTATAAGCAAATAATGTCAGAAAACATTCCCCTTCAGTTGTAAGAAGATCATAGATGTTTTGGAAAGCTTTTCTGAAAACGGTAATATCTGTGTCAAATAATTGCGTTATTTCACGGGGAACGGGGCAATAAATTAGAATAGAGAACTCTCTTTTCATCTTTTTCACAATTTGTAATCTTAAGCAATAAAAAAAAAAAAACTCAAAATATACAGTATTTTTTCTTAAGTCTTCATTTGACAGCTCTCTCACTAACATTACTGCCATACCTTGTTTCTTATTGTGGTGTTTTCACCATCAAAATTATGTTATTTATCCAACTTATATAAGCGAATGTCAACGTAGCGTTTCTTGGCTGAGCCCATAGTCGCTCACCCATCACAGCGAAGCTGTATAGGCCACCAGGCATACTACCCTCCCAAAAAAAAAATTCAATGTAGCGATCTATTTCGGTAATAAATTCCAATTTAACTAATTATATTTCTCAGTCGTTTAAAGAGCGAGAGGTCTCTGATTTTTCTCTGTATTTATTCACTGCCACAAACCCGGAGCTATAGGGGCATGAGAAATTCGTGTTCGTGGTACAAACAATATTACTGAGAGGAAGAAAAATATCGGATAATATAAATTACTGTCTTGATTTAATATTCTACACTACGACGATTGCTGATGAAAAATAAAAAAATTTCAAAAAATGAAACATACTGTTGCTTCCTGATCCAATGGAAGGTGCACAATGAAAATACGTGATCGAATTTTCCTTTAACATCACTGGACAAATCCTCTTCAATGTCCATAAATTTAAAAGTGATCTTCTCATTCTTATTATGTTCACTGGCATACTTAAGTCCTTTTTCGTCATTGTCACACGCGGTTAGCGAGTTTATGTTCTTCGGGAAATATGTTGCTAAAATTTTAGTGATGCTTCCATCCGCACATCCCACTTCCAAGATTTTTTCATTGGATTTCCAGTTGAACAATGGAGCGAATGCATCTAGTGATTCTATTGCATCTCGTCTCGTAATACTGTTATTTTCATGATAAATCTCCGCATTGTTCCACATCCGCAAACTAAAAAAAAGATACAAGGCCGAAATTACTCGATATTATTAAATCTATGATTTTTTATTAAATACAATAATTGATTAGTGGTCAACAGTATTCAGTCTCGATAGCGTTCAGATTTTTTTTACCAGCTGAGTTTTTTGGAGACGTGTGTTTTACATTTACGATGCCTATTATGTCTTGTAATTTTTCAAACTTGTCATTCTAATACAAAAATAGATTGTTGCGTAAATAAAAATAATTTTAACTAAAACTTAATTGTTTTTTTTAAAGATTGGACCTTCATGTAGATTCATTCAGCACATGTCGGCGTTATCCCATAGAAAAACATTGTCTTTTTAAAGCTGTCACCTCAACTCTTCTGATTTCTGAATAGAGTTGAAATAAAAGTGAGAGTGAATTCAAAGCATAAGATGTTACGATATTCCTAACCTAAATGTTTTTCCTAATTTAGTAAATGAATACATTATTTGAACCAACTATACATATTTGATACAAAATAATTCTCATTATTGATACTTAATGGAATCGGAAAATCTATAAATATACATAATAAGCCATATATCCATCATCCATATATCAATCCATATATATAAGCTTACGTAAAATCACTGAACCCGAACAGTTCGGATTCCGCTCTAAGCACTCGTGCGTACAACAAGTGCACCGCCTCACGGAGCACATCCTGATAGGACTAAATAGGCGTAAACAAATCCCGACCGGCGCCCTCTTCTTCGACATCGCGAAGGCGTTCGACAAAGTCTGGCACAACGGTTTAATTTACAAACTGTACAACATGGGAGTGCCAGACAGACTCGTGCTCATCATACGAGACTTCTTGTCGAACCGTTCGTTTCGATATCGAGTAGAGGGAACTCGTTCTCGTCCCCGTCAACTGACTGCCGGAGTCCCGCAAGGCTTCGCGCTCTCCCCGTTATTATTTAGTTTGTATATCAATGATATACCCCGGTCTCCGGAGACCCATCTAGCGCTCTTCGCCGATGACANCCCGAGCCGGTCCCCTAGGGCCTCGAAGGCCAAGCTCCAGACCCGGCCGTGAACGCCGTCAGGGCCGGGGGCCGCGTCCTTCGCTCTCATTCTGGACACGGCCGCATGGATCTCCGCCCCCGTGATAGGGGGAGGGGGCTCCTCGGCAGCGGGAACGCTGGGGCGACGCGGAGGCGTGCCCCACGTGGCGTCCATCTGGGGGGGCTCAAAGTCTCCCCCCGCTGCTGGCGGGAAAAGCGCGGAAACTATTTCCCGCAGCTGCCGAGGCTGGAGCCGCTCGGTCACCGGGAGCGCCCACGGCTGCAGTTTCCTGCGAACCATCTTGTATGGGCGCCCCCAGGGATCTTCGTCGAGCGACTCCAGGAGAGTCTTCATGCTCTGCTTCTTGGCCTCGCCGATGGCCAGCTGCAACGCCGTCTGCTTTTGACGACAGTCAGCGTGCAGCCGGGCCGCCGTCTCCGCGAACGTTGCGTCGCGACTACGGCGGCGGCGGTGGCGTGCGCTCCGGCGGCGCGCCCTCACGCACTCCTCTCGGAGTCTTGCGATCTCGGGCGACCACCAGAATGCACCCCCACGTGGTGCTCGGGGGCCGACCCGGGGCATGGCGGCATCACAAATGTTTGCCATGGTGCCCCGGAACCAGTCGACCTCCGCATCCACGTCCGCGAGCCGCGCGGG